CTCTGTTACGTGTAGGCGTACTACGTGCTGTACAGGGCCGTGCCGTTATGAATTCGAACCTTCCAACTTTCGACGCTCCCAAGGGAAGAAGGACCTTGAAAGATTTTTCAATAAGAATCGGACTTCACGGTTTCGTTTTGAACGCGATCGGATGAACTGGATTTCAGATCTTGTTAGTGACGATAGTAATGTATGGTTCGCCACTTGATGTGTTTATCTACTGGATTAATAAAACTCCAGAGATCACAAACGTTGATTTTAACTGAGGCACGGTTAGAGTTGTTCGCTCAAATATCATTGGATGGAGCAGAATGAAAAAAGTTCCTTTGGTCCAGAGGAAGGGGAAGTCAGATGAAGAACCGTGTCATACATCCTTGGATTCAAACGTGTCTCTTTCTGCCAAATACGTAGCTGCAATAAACAACAATATATGATTATTCGCAAGATCTGAAAACTTGAACTGGACTTAGCGACGTGAAAGCTGCGCCAAAGCAAGGTGAAGGCAATGTTCAATCTTGCACTTACTATTTTTAAAGATATTTCCAATGAAGCACATACTTACTGCGCTAGCAAGTCAACCAAAACATATGAATATGTTTTTTTCTAATTTCTAGAACATTGAACTGAACTATCATCCTACTTTTGGGACCAACCGTAAATTCTACACTAGGATTTACATTAGTAGTTACAAATAAAAGTTGAAGATTTCCTCTCAGCCTTTGCTACAAGGGAAATGCAGAATAGAAATTTGTAAATCTATCTTTACAAGAAAGATACACTGAATGAGAATTTTAGTTTACCTCTTTCGTCCATGGCCCTTTGACCAATTCCGGATTCACGACCTTCGCCCATCTCTGTTGGCACTGAACGTCACTTCTGTCTGGGAAATGACTGGCTATGGCGTCCCATCGAAGTCCAGTCCCAAGTTGTTCAGCGTTGCTTACCAACTGCTTCAACAAAGAGTCCTGAAACCCATTCAAACGGAAACACACGGTTTACCATACAGCAGACAGAGGAAATATGACGCAGGAATAAGGTGATCGCCTTAAAGCTTTACACAAGCAATGCAAGATATTTTGATAAGCGTTAAAAAAAAAAAAAAAAAA